AAGTTTAGCTGACGTTTTATCGTTGTTTTTGCCAGCAGCACATATTACTAAGTAGGTCATCCCCATAAAGAAAAGCTTTGATTGGTTATTGAATTTCTTTTATAATACATTTAATGGCCAAAAGAAACAATGAACCTTGATTGAGGAGTGCCATTTTTTTCGTGTATGATATTGTCCCGTTTGCCGTAACTTTGAGTGACCTGTTGTATAGAAAATGTTTAATAAATGCCAGTAGGTTTCTATTCATTCTTCATTTGCGTAGTTTATGAAGAACTAAAATTTCTAACAAATCCACGGATTATGTCAAAAAATACAGCTGTTAAAAATGTTTGGCAAAAGCAAATTATTTTACCCATGCTATAACTTCTAAACCATGCAAGATAATCGAACCGGACAAAAGTCATCCATTATAATTGGCGGTGTACTTTGAAACAAATAAAAATTTGATGACCCATCCTTAAAAATTACCACCTGGAACAACCCCCTAAAAATTATTAACGACACCCTAATTTTTTTCTGCTCATTTTTGTAGTTGCTACTTTTCTCTATACAACTGTTTTTAAAATTTTGAAATCGCTCCATAAATAAGTGCAATTCGTTTTTTTTTTCTTTTTCATCAAGCTGCTTGCTGTCAAATTCATGGTAAGTTTTCTAGCGCATTATAAACAATACTATATCAATCTGTCTCTTGTCAAACATAAGTGCATCTTAAATAATCTATAAAATTAGCTGTTTTTACTTGATAAAGTTTGCAATAATTTAGAGTTTGTCAAGTCCTAACAAATTATTTCAAAATGCCTACTGTGTTTAGTTCCAACAAGTACACTGATATAATAATTATTTACGGCGAATGTCGCAATAATTAAAAACAAGCTAGACAATTATACTATGATCGTTTTCCGAATAGAACAATTCCCTCAGTTAGAACGTTTTCCAATTTAGAAAGAAGTCTTAGACAGACATTTTCCTGATGGTAAACATCATGGAGGACACAACAGAATGATCAGAAATGAAGAAAATATAATACGCGTTTTGGCTTATGTAAATCCACATGTTTCTATCAGAGATTTGGCACTCGAAATTGTAATAAGCAAAAGTAGCATCCAATAAATATCCTTATAAAATACACTTGGTCCAAGGTTTACACCCTAATGATATTGAAAGACGCTTAGACTTTCTCGCTAGAATGCAGGTAAAACTAAATGATAATGCCACATTCTTAGATAAAATATTATGGAGAGACGAATTACGTTTCCATAATAATGGTGTATTAAATCGTCATAATTCCAATTACTGGTCCCCAACAAATCCCCACTGGGTAAGAGAAACAAGGTTTCAAAATATTTGGGACATAAACGTATGATGTGGTTTGTTCAATCGTAGGATTATAGGTCCTCATTTTTATGAAAACACTCTAACGGAAATAGGATATCGTGATTTTTTAATCAATAGCGTTCTTGATTTGTTGGAAGGTGTTCCTCTTAATCGAAGACGTGATATGTGGTGGCAGCACGATGATGCACCAGCTCATAATGCACAAATTGCGTGCCAATATTTGGCAAACACTTATGGAAACCGTGTTATATCCACGCATTCTCGAATTTTCCAGTGGCCGCCTAGGTCACCTGATTTGTCGCCTCTAAATTTTTTCTGGGGTACTATAAAGGACATAGTATACGAAACAAAACCAGATGACTTAGAAGATTTAAAAAATAAAATCAAACATGCTTGTAACAGATTTACACCGGCCATGATTCGAGCTGCCTGTACTATAAATTTATTGTTAAGGTTTGACAAATGTGTGGAAGTGGAAGGTGGGCAATTTGAGCACTTATTATAAGTTATTACTACTCTTTGTTTGTTGATATTTATTTCTTGTTTTCTCCTTCCCTTGTTTCAATGTATTTTTTTAATTATGTGTCATCTAATAAAATATTTTTTATCAACTTGTCATACAGTTATATTTAATTTCTCACTTATTTATGAAGCGATTTTAAAATTTTAAAAACAGTTGTACAGAGAAAAGTAGCGACTATAAAAATAAGCAGAAAAAGTTAGGGTGTCGTTAATAATTTTTGAGGGGGTTGTTCCAGAGGGGTAGTTTTTGAGGGTGGTTGATCAAATTTTTTTCAAAGTACACCGCCAATTATAATGGATGACTTTTGTCCGGTTCGATTATCTTGCATGGTTTAGAAGTTATAGCTTGGGTAAAACAATTTGGGACACCCTGTATATTTGAATCTATACATATATGCGATTGCCTAGTATTGTTCTACTGTTTCTGAATCCACTTTTTTCAGGAATAATAAGATCAAGTTTCTCTAGAAAATAGTTTAATCTAGAATTTTCATTTTTTCCAACACCTTACCCATTATGCAGGTCAGAGAAATTGATCTTTAAGGAGGTGGTCTTTTCGCCACCAATGTTAAATAAAAAATATTGGATTATGACTAAAATTAATTTTTTTCTAATAGTAGATGTCCTTATTTATCTAATAGTGAACTTTTAACTATACCTTACCGTGCAAATTTTTGAGAAAATTTTTTTTTAAAAGTGTGTGTACAGTTTCATATGAGAAAGTAAGACTTCAACAACAATTTTCGAATTATAATTAATTTTACTATTATTTATTGATTAGATGGAGTAGAAAAAAACTAAAAATAGGGTTTTTGAAATATTTAGGTTTTGTTTTTTACAATAAAATATATAGGTTACCGTGGAACTAGGTTACTTGAAAATTTTTTGTGATTTTTTAATATTAATTTCTTAATAAGTTCCACGGTTTACTATATATATTTTATTGTATAAAACAAAATCTAAATATTTCAAAAACCTTATTTTTAGTTTTTTTCTACTCCATCTAATCAATAAATAATAGTATAATTCGAGAATTGTTGTTGAGGACTTACTTTCGGTATTATACGCCGACACTCGAACGGCGGATATAACTATTGAAATGATAAAGAGTTTCTAGACACTTTGAAACACACTATACATAACAATTTTGGGTCCGCTAACACTTATTTAAAAAAAAAATTACCTTAAAATCCAAAATCCTTAAAATTTGTTGTCGGGTCTCCATCATAAAACAAATGTAAAATAAACCATTTTCACTGATTTCTTGTTGTAGAAACGGCTAAATATCAATATAACCGTACCAATTTTTTTCTTAAACGATCAAATTTTCTTATTTTTCATTTTTAGTTTGTTAGAAAAATAAATAAACACTAAATTATTTTTAATGACAATTGATGTGTCTAGTTTCTATAAATGCGGTGTTGCCAAATCGAGTAAAAAAACATATAAGTCAGTAAATAATTCGATTAGTGAAAGTTGGCTGAAAAATTACATAGTGTCTGGCCAGCAGGTAAATTTGGATCTCGAAGTGAAAACATTTGTAGTAATCACAGACAACCGTCTTCTTATTTCATTTCATGATGATTGCACGTTAATTACGGCATGTCGGTACTTATCTAATATTTAAAAAAAAATCAATTTGAGCTGTGTCCAGGCCGTTGGAGTTTATGCCGGTCGGCGTAGCCAGGTATGGTTTAAAAATTTTCTGGTGGCGGCGAAGCCGCCACCTTACAAGCAGTCGTTCTTTCATTTTCTTTTTGTATATTTTCTTATTATTAGATGCTCACGATACAAGACAAGTTCGTTAAAAGTTGGGATCGAGGTTCACTGGCCAGACGCTAATGAGGGTTAGTTAGGTTAGGTTTTTTTTCAATTTGAGCTGTGTCCAGGCCGTTGGAGTTTATGCCGGTCGGCGTAGCCAGGTATGGTTTAAAAATTATCTGGTGGTGCCACCTTACAAGAAGTCGTTGCTTCATCTTCTTATTGCATATTGTTAGTTTAGGTTAGGTCGTCGAAGAGTACTCTGCCGATGAGGGTGAGAAAGAAGATCTTAATATGGGTATTTTTTAAATCGTTAGTTTTATATAATTTTTCTGATACTGAAGTCAATTGGTTGGCCTGGTACAACGCAGGGCATAGGTAAAAATTACCATTGCTATGTAATAGATAATTGATATGGCAACATTGTATTTCTTTTAGACATATGTCACACTGCAAATCTTAATTGTTATAGTCTTTACAAAAATTAAAAAATTCCGACGAACCTAAATATGAGCTTAAATTAAAAAAATAAACTGTTTACGATAAAATTTTGATGGTTTATTGCATTATGGATGGTCTAGTGTTATTATTTAGCAGTTTCTATAACAAGAAATTAATCAAAATGATGTAGTTTAAATTTTTTCAACATCGAAATTGGAGGACACATTTTAATAGTTTTAAGGTAAGAAAAAAATATTTTATAGCGTTTGCAGGGCAAAAAAAGTATTTTGAAATGTGTTTCAGAAGGTCCAAAATCGTTTAAAAAAAAAAAATAAAAAAAATAGTCCGTTCGACTGTTGGCGGATTTTTCCCTTACTTTCTCGTGAGGCACTGTACAAATACTCACATTTAAAAAAAAAAATTCTCAAAAATTTGCAAGGTAAGGTATAGTTAAAAGTTCAGTATTAGATAAATAAGGACTTCAACTATTAATTTTAGTCATAATCTAATAACTTTTTTTTAACATTTGAGGCGAGAGGTGTGGCGAAAGGACCTCCTTAAGAATCGAATTTTGTTTAATACTTTTAGAATTATTGGAAACAATCGATTTTTAAACTTTTCTGTAAGCACCCAAGTTATGGCTAACCGACCTATATTTGACTTCAAAATATCTTGTATAATTTAAAACATACCTTTCTGTGACTGTAAAACGGTTAACGAAATCCTCAGTGATTAATAAAATTTTCGCCACCCAGTATATCTTTATATCACATACCCCCACTAAGGAAGGATTTTTAAAAATATCTTTCGTTTTTTAAATGATTTCTTTCTAAAAATAAATAAGCTAAACTTAGGTTTTATTAACTGCTAAAAAATCAATAAATACCTTTAATGATGAGTAAGTTTTAAATTACAAAGTAATTTATCTAATTGAAACTAACCTTCATTATGTGGATATCGGTTCCGCAGATGCCTGAATACGCAATTTTGACTAAAACATCACTAGGTTCTGTAATTTTTGGAATAGGTAATTTAACCAGTTGAACCTTTTTAGTGTTTGAAAAAAAATGTAATGCTTTCATTTTTTGTTTATTAAATAGTAGCTAAGTCACTATTAAAAATACGTTATTTTGTTTCCATTGGGTTAAGGCATTAGGATATTTATCTTATATAAAATATAAAGAGATAATTTGAATATTAAACCATAATGAGACAAAAAAATTAAATAAAACTCATGTCAAAAGATGACAAATACAAAAAATATCAATACTTCTAACATTTAAAGCCTGGTTCAAATCATGTTTATTAACCATTTTAAATATAAGCTCACCCACTGATTTGAACGCGAGTATATCTTTCCTTCTGTCAGTAGTAAAATTTTCATATTTTTATAAAGACAAGCAGATTTTAAATTACTGCAAAGCGCCTATAGTGTTCCTAAGTTGTATCCGTGGTACCCCATTACTACAGCTGCCCCTTCAGTGAATTTATAATCCATTGGTGTATAATCAACTGACAGGCACCTGTCACTGCCAACGCAAGGTATACCAAATATCCAGGCGGGAGCCTGGATTGTCCTCTTAATTATTACCATATGATTTTCCACGAGCCAGCAGAAAGCAAGACTTAAAAATTATAGAAGACCCCTTTAATGTTGCTTTTGACTACAAGAGCAACAATACTATACAAAGTTCCCCAACAGTAATAGACAACGCAATGGATAGTTCAGGTACAAATTCTTACTCCGCAGTAGCCAAATGCATACCAAAGCCAGTGTTCCCAAAGAGAGACCAAGCTATTTTAATTCATTCGGAACCAAATTTAGTCCTCTTTGACTACGTTAAAGCTATTGGTGATATCGTTGGTCCCAAAAATATCAGTTTCGCATCGAGAATATCTGATAACCGAATCTGTATTTATCTGTCTAAAATTGACATTGTAAATTATCTAATTGAAAATCACCCTACAGTCACAATAAATTCGCTGGATTTAGCTATAAGAAGATTGGTTACACCTGCAAAGCGTATATTAATCTCGAATGTGAGCCCTTCCATTCCGCACGAACTAGTTGAAAAAGCATTAAGAGATTATGGGCTTCAACTAGCTTCTCCCGTTTCATTTCTGAAGGCTGGTATACCGGGTGATGACTATTCCCATATAGTAAGTTTTCGTAGACAGGTTTTCGTTATTCCTCAGTCAGAAAACCCTGACATTCAAGCTTCTATGATAATTCAGCACGATAACAATTCATTCAGAATCTTCTTATCCTCTGATAAAATGGAATGCTTCCTCTGCAAATCGACTGGTCATGTAGCAAAAATTTGTCCAAATAAAGTTGAAAAGTCTGCGACCGAAGAGGATGTTCCTTTAAATCGAGATAGCCAAGTAGCACCTACTAGCTCTGAACCATTGCCATCATATGGTTATAGACAAAAAAGACCCCATTCTGACAGCAATTCAATTATCTCGCAGACAATTCAACCCAGTACATCTTTAGCTAACTCTGATATGCCTCTTTTGGAAGCTAGCAAAGAAGAGAAAAAACCAAAACCTTCAGGTACGAAAACAATCAAAAAGAAAACCAAGCACGACTCAAGCAATCCGAAAATATCAGATAATACAATTTCAATCATCAAGAAACTGTACGATGAATCCCCTGGAATATTTACTCTCCCAATGGATTCTTTTATTGGTTTTCTAGAAAATTCCTTTGGAAGTAGTAACCCTATTTTAGAAGCGCAACATTTCTCGAATGATATTAGATCAATATTGGAAGATATGTATAGGTTATATCCGCACTTAACGGAAAGGTCCTTTAAAAACAGGTTCACTAGGTTATCTAAAAAAATTAAGCGTAGCTTAAACTTGAATAATTAAGATATAGAAAATATAACATCGCAGTCTCTCAATGATGAGGATTTTCTTTCTTTGTAAATTTTGAGAAATAATATTTATATTTAAAATTCACGTTAATACAATGGAATTGCGACGGGTTCTATCCCCGTCTGGAACGTATTCAACAGTTAATAAATGTCCAAGCGGATATCATTTGTTTACAAGAAACTAATTTTAAGGATTCTCATCGTCGGCAACTTAAAAATTACGAAGGTTATCATTTCCTCAGACCTGTATTTAATCGAGCTAGCGGCGAAACCTCCATTTTTATTTCAAGTGATATATATGACTCTCATTACCTATTAACTACTAATCTAGAAGCTATAGCAGTTAACGTTTGGTGTCCTTCTAAATTAACTATCTGTAGTGAATACATTCCTCCCAATTACAACTTATCTGAAGAAGATCTATTTGACCTAATACATCAGCTTCCTAGTTCATTTATACTTGTTGGTGATTTTAATGCTCATAATTCTTTGTGGGGTTCAAAACAAACTTTTGGCAGAGGGAAAGTAATAGAAAATGTATTAAATTGCTCTAACGCTTATTTATTGAATACTGGCTCCAGTACATATTTTAACATTTCCTCTGGTACCTTTTCCTCTATTGACTTAAGTTTTTGTGATCCTAAAGCAGCTCCTACACTTTCTTGGCACGTAGTAGATAGTCTTTATGATAGCAACCACTTTCCAATAAAAATCTCCAATAATATACATAAGCCTACTGAAAGTATTACAAAATAGAGACTCACTCATGCCGACTGGGTAATGTTCAATTCACATATTGAATCTCAGTTTGAAAATTTGCAATTTGTGGATGATATAAATGAATCTTTAGAACTTCTTAATTATTGTATTATCTCTGCTGCTAACATGTACATCGGCAAATCTATCATATCAACCTCCAAAAAACAAGTTCCCTGGTGGAATAATAACTGTCAGATAGCAGTCCGGGAGTGTAAAACTTCCTTAAACAGATATCGTAGAACTAGAAATATAGAAGATTTTGTAATTTTTAAGAAAATGAGAGCTAAGGCTAAAATTATCCTCAAACAAAGTAAAAAGGACTCTTGGAAAAACTATGTTTCCTCTTTAACTGCAGAAACTCCTTCAAAACAGGTCTGGAATAAAATTAGGCAAATGAAAGGAAACAACACTTTTCATAGAATTTCAACTTTATCCCAAGAAAATTATTTATTTCATGATAGCCAAGATATTGTCAATATTCTTGCTGAGAATTTTGAGGAAAAATTCAAAAATCCTAACCTAATAAATATTACCAATCCTGATAAAAACCCTGAAAAACCCTTTTGTTCTTTCACAACCTGAAGATGCAGACTATATTAACTTTCCTTTTTCTCTAGTAGAACTCGAAATGGCTCTTGATTCATGTAAAAACTCAGCAGCAGGACCTGATGAGATACCTTTTATATTTATTAAAAAATTGTCCACAATTTTTCGGATAAATTATTGGAAATTTATAATAAAATTTGGATAAGTCAAAAGTTTCCTAAGCTGTGGAGCCAGTCTCTTATACTTCCAATAAAAAAGAACAACTTATCTCCAATATGCCCAAAATCATATAGGCCTATCTCCCTTACATGCACGATGTGTAAACTTATGGAGATGGTTAATAAAAGACTTGCTTGGTATTTAGAAAAAAAATAATATTCTTCCAAAAAATCAAACAGGTTTTAGAAGTCATCGTTCTACCTTGGACAATTTGGTTTTTCTACAAACAGAAATATCCAATGTTCTCAATAATAAACAAGAAGTGGTTGCTGGCATATTTGACATCGAAGGAGCCTATGATTCCGTTCAGCATTCTGTCATTATTCAAAAGCTCAGAAATTACTACCTTAGAGGTAACATTTTCTATTTTATTCAAAATTTTTTAAGTGAAAGGTCCTTTAGAGTAATAGCTAATGGCAAAATTTCTTTAAGTCATCCTCAAAATAGTGGTGTTCCGCAAGGATCTGTATTAAGCCCAATTTTATTTATCTTAGCGATATTAATTTGAGTATCGATCCTCCGGTGAAATCTATTATGTATGCTGATGATCTCGTCATGTTCTCTCATGGAAAAAACATTGTTACAACTTGCAGATTATTGCAAACTGCAGTGGATCGTCTAAGCGTCTGGGCTTCAAATATTGGTCTTTCTTTTTCAGCTAATAAATCTAGAGTCATCAAATTTAGTAAACGACGAAAAGGTCAAGATTTAAATATATTTTATAAGGGCCTTCCTATGACTATGGTGAACAACTGCAAAATTATAGGAATAATTTTTGACAGTAAATTGTCCTGGCAGTTACATATCGAAGAAATCAAGAACGATTGCCTGAAGAGAAAGAAAGTATTAGCTCACCATCATTGGGGTGCTGATGAAAGTGTTATTATTAGGACCTATAGAGCTCTTATAAGATCAAAATTAGACTATGGTAGTTTTATCTGTCTCCAATTACAACTTAAGATCCTTAAATATAGTTCAAAACACTGCCTTAACACTGTGCCTCAGAGAACAAGTCCCGTAGAAAGCTTGTACTGTGAAGCCAACGATCCCCCTCTTTGGCTTAGACGACAGTACCTTCTTCTTTCCTATGCTGCTGGTATCTCTGCGAACCCTTCAAACCTTGTTTTCTCACTGTTGGTTTCAAACAATAACACATTCGTCAGTATTACTTCTCCTAGGGCTAGTGTCTCAATTCCTCAGGCTCTAAAATCCTTACTCGGTGATATTGAGCTCACTAGAACGATGCCTTTTCCCATTTCTAAAAGTCCTCCTTGGCTAAAAAAATTACCCAAATTTAATACCTCGCTTAGCCAAGTCAATAAAAGTAACACACCAAAATAATTCTTTAGGCAATCATTTACGGAAATAATTTATAGCAACAAATTTAAAAGAATTATATTTACGGATGCTTCTAAAGATCAATCCGGTGTAGGTTGTTCTGTCACCTCAAATGATGGGTTCCAGAAATCCTTCTTGCTACCTTCCTCATGCAGTATTCATACTGGGGAACTGTATGGGATACTTCAGGCTTTTAAATCATTAACTGCTGAGGATAACTATGTCGCTATATGTACAGACTCCCTTTCTTCGATCTACTCTATTAAAAATATTTATACTCAACATCCCTTGGTCCAAGAAATACACGATTGTTACAAATTTCTTGCTTCAGTAGGAAC